CACACACACACACACACACACACACACACACACACACACACACACACTCACACACTCAGCGCAGACACTGCAGCCGCCGCCTGGCACCTCTCTGATAAGTCAGGTACATCGTTCTGCTCTGATAACTGATGTCAGAATAAGCCAACAGTTGTGTTTACAGTGGGCATCTCTCACTTTCATCCTGATTGTTCCATCAGACCTCAATCAAATGCGCACGGCGTCTCTGTCTTTACAGGCATCTCCTATTTTGGCTGAACAATGGCATCAGTTATCAGTCATCAGTTTTCCACTGTGTGCAAAGATTGATGGGTTCGATAAGAAAATGGGCAATTGTGTGAGGTCTGAGTCCTGTAACAGTTATCCTTTTTCAGTATAATTTGACTATAATTTGAAACTCCCCACACTGGTTATTGTTATTTTTTTTCCTTTTGATCTGAGTGTTTTATTGTTGAATGGTCATGATAATACATTATATGATTGCAGGTAAATGCTGGACAAACTAGAATCAAGAATCTGCTACAGCACTTTAGTGATAGGGAACAACTATCATGTGATACAAGTTGATTAATCTATTCCTATGAAGACAACTGGAGAAAAAAAACATGATTTTAGTACAAATACGTCACCTGTGCCACTTGCTCGCTGTTCATTCCGGCCAGTTCTGTATCTCCAATGCGTAGTATCTGATCTCCACTACGTAGGCGATTATCCTGAGAAACATCACACCAGCAAACAGAAAGACTCCAAACATTTAATGTGTGCACCGTATTTCAGCCTGTTTCAAGCTTTCCTCCAATATCAAAGAGAGAGCCTTGGGCTTTTTTTGCAGATTAGACTACTTTCTCCGGAGCTGAGCTTTAGAAGTGAAAAGCGATCGGCGAACTGCGCTCGGGATGAATTCACAGGTGGATTTACCCTTCCCGCCGCTCCTCCGGGGAGAATGGTCTTAACCATGACACCTGTGCTCCGTCCGCCTATGATGCCAAAACCAAGTCCTTTTCCATCATTTGTCAGCTCTATTATCTCCACGTGACGCCTCTAACATTGCAGACGGAGGGAAAGAGAACAGGGGAAGAAAAACAATCGAACGGCCCTGCTTTAAAAGAAAACAGCATGACTGTACCAGCTCTCAAGAATAACCAAACAAGAGAAGCTTGCTGTACCTCGTGTGCAATGGCAGAAAGGTTTCTCCCCATTGACATGGTGCGGGAGATCCTCGGGGGGGTGCAGTACTATGAAATAAAAACAAAAAACACCTGAAATCAATCAAATCATCTATTTGATGACATTAAATGTGGCTGGTCTTAATCATGTACAGACCCTAAGTTGAAATCGTCCATACTTTACCAACACATACCTGAAATTCAGTCTGAATGGCATTGTCTGAGTAGAGGTCTATGAGGGACAGGTCTTGTGAACCCAGAGAAGAAAAGCTGCCCTCCCTCTGGAAGGATCTGGAGGTGCTGGGCCTTCGGTTTTCCACGGCCCACGTGTACGAGTCGCTGTGGCTTAGCATCTTCGAGCCGAGGATCAAACCCTGGCACGGGCCATAGTTCATGGACACAGACTTGGAGATGCCCTTCTCCTGGTGAGATTGAGGGGTCAGTGTGGAAAGAGCGAATCAGACAAATTAAATAGCAGGAACACGGGAACGAAAAGGATGAATTGGGTCAGAAGGAAAGAAGACAGACACGGAGGATGTACTGAGGGATGCAAGGGAAAGCAGAGGGAATGACTAAGAGGGAAATGGGGAGGGATATTAATAAAAAAGTGTCAGTCTACATTTAAAAAGGAAATATGGAGTCAGGGAGGGAAATGTAAAGATAAATTGTTAGACGTCTGAGAGAGAACGGGGACAGAGGGATGATGTGCGTTAACAAAATAAAAAGAATGATGGAGCAGAGTGGAAGAAGATAAGAAGGAAAATCGGAGATAAAGATTTCATCTCAGTTCCACAAAACTGTTCCATTTTGTCTGTTGAGGTTTTTACTTGGTGGCAGTTTCAGATGAACAAATGCAAACTGCCCTCAGTGGCAGTCCTTTGAAAAATCCGGACCTCGGGGAGAGTCCAGTGCCACGTTTCCTGGGCTGCAAAGATGCTAAATGGCTGCAGGCCCGTGCAACATTGCTAATTCAATAACGCCTGTGTGTGGAGGCTGTGGGTTATCTTATTAGAGCGCACAACATTGGGCAGTTACCAGGCTCCGAGGCTCGGCACTAACGAGCAAGTTAAGTGTCTGAACGGTGCCCTACATTTATCCCACAGCTAAAAGAAAGTGCAAAGCTTTGGGAGACATCAGCACCCCTGCACTGATCGGCTAGTGATCGACCGTCGCGCCTTTCATGCCGGCGTAAACGCTCGCGGAGCAGCCCGCAACCTTTAAAATGTATCAACTCATAGATTTATGTGGGAGAGATTTCAAAAGGACAAAGTGTTTGCTGTTATCTCTGGTTTCTATTGCACCAGCTCCAGGATTACGGAGCATTCGGGGCGATCTTTGCAGGGTATCCTCTTTTAGGGAGAGACTTGAGATTGCTCCAATTGTTCAACTGATTCAAAGATGCATTTTCCAACTTCTTTCAGCTTTCTGTAAATATCTCCTTAAAGGCTCAGAGAGAGCGGTGGTCACAGCGTCCATTCTTGTGAAGGTGAGAAAACAGATTTTGTATCTATAATGAGGGCCTGCTCTGACTCCAGCACTTACTCTCGCGTCTTTTTTTTTTCAACATTTTAACATGAAAGCCCTAAAAGCTTCTAAAAAATACAAGATCTTTACATAATTTCTTATTTTCAGTGTAGTTAACTACATATCAACTCCATTACCTCGTACAGAATTTCATAGAGACCTGGATCTTCATCTTTTATACATGGTTACACAACTAAAAACAGAACACGATGACTTCATAAACCAATATTTACTTCATAGCAGAATATATACAATATATCAAATGATGTCTTAAGTGAAAGGACAGCAAAGGTTACAGTCCTAACTTTTCGAGAAATGCTGCTGCCATTAAATTCATCATAAGGTCATATTTTTCTTGAAATAGTAAGAAACCTTGCTTTCCACATATTGTCGTGATATGCAGGTTCATGAACTTTTTGAAATCATTTAAGTTTGTTTTCATTTACATTTCACTCAGTATAAAACCATTTTTATAAACTATCTTTCTACTTTTTACGGCATGCAGCATCCCTTTTGGTTCTGTTGTCTATTTCTTTATGTTCAAATGGTGTTTTCATCCTGAATCCAAAATGTGGAAGTAAATGAAGATTTCATTTGATGTAATTTATATGGTTGTTAATTTCTTAGTGAATAAATGTATAAAATTATAGTGTATAAAGTCTAAGTTGTATTTAGCTTTTTTACATTCTCTTTAAAGAGACGCCTTTTGTTGGGGATTTTTCACTATCTAAACACACTGAATTGAATTTAATTAGGCCCAATCATCTGCAGGAGCGAGCAGCACAGTCAACAAGTTGGGAAGCGGCAATCTGGGTGTTACAAACATCTGAGAATTTGCACCTCCTGCTATGCCCTCCTTCTAAGCATCTGTGCTTAAGGCGACTCTAATCGCCCTGTTACAACACATGGATATGTGAGGCATGAGGAAACTAACTGTACTAACTGTATAACGTTCGAGCCTCCGCTGTGAAGCCGATGTATTTCCTGTTCTGCTCCGAGATCGTTCGGAATACTTTGACATCCTCACTGAACATGTCGATAAGGCAAAGTTCTCCCCTGGCCTCCAAACTCTTCCAGATCAAGATCTGATTGAATATCCACGGGTGATCCATGCTATACCCGCCGTGCAACCTAAAGGCCCGGGGGGATCTGCAGGACACCCTCAGAGGACCCGGGGTTCGTGCTCCAATAGGTTTGAACTGCTTTGTCGGCACAATGGTGCCCATTTGGTTTCAATTCTATGGCTGACCTGTATATAAACACATATATTTATATATATATATATATATCAGCCTTTGTAAGAAGCCCTGCATATGCTGAATATGGGCTCATAACTTACAATAGTGCGAAGGACTTCTGCAGAATTCTTATCGAGATAAAAAGCACCTCCTTCCCCCTCCCACTCTATCTATCATAAAGCTTTAGTGGTAAGCTTAGGTAAGCTGATTACTCATCCAGTTTGGTTTCTACATTCAGTATTTTGGGAACGATTCCAGCTCCTTCCCTCACCAGTCAATATATACCAAACGCCTACGCGTATAACACTTGTGCTATACCTTTGGCGGGCGCTTCCGCTGAGCCTGCTGCAAGCTGAGGATGTGGAGGAACAGGGGGCTCTGCAGGACAGTCTTCAGCAGGGTCAGTTTCTCCTGAGTGGGGGCCTCCCCCCTCTCCTTCAGTTTGGCTTGCAGTCTCTCCACAGCATCCAAGGCACACTGGGTATCTGCAGAGAAAACATTATCTGGGTGACTCAGAAGCAGCCCTTCCCGCCGTTTGGCATTCATTTTCTCTTGTCGGCCCGCAGCCGCTGGCTGACCCTGACGCAAGGCCCAAAGCCTTGACTCTCAAAACCAGGTGTGTGTCTCTGAAAAGGACCTTCTTTGGATTTTTTAACATTTAGTCTGTTTTTGACAACGATGGAGCCACGCTCCGTTTTTCCATTTGCCAGCCCCTGAGGTTAACGCATCGGCAGAGCAAAGAAAAAAACAAAAAGCAAACGCAGGAGCATTAAGTTGTCTGTCACACGGCAGAGGACGAGCTCCATGCTGCATCTGCTCGCGTTATCCCCGGTCATTTAGCAGAATGGCAACTAATGAGCGGGGGCCACAACTGCAGTAATTGCATGTGGCAGCAGGCTAAAGCCCTGTAAACTCCTCACCGCAACGTTTTTGACAAGAGAGCCGGTCCAGCGCCACCTGCACACGGAAATACTCTCTCTCTCTCCCCGTTTGACAGTGTAATTGCAGGCCTCGGATGATGGTGGAGGTGGCGGGCCTCGCCGAGGTTACTGCAACATTTTGGGGATTTAAAGCGGCCCCCACGCTCCAGACGCTGACAGAAAAACACTTACCCATGATCTCCATCGCCGCTTGTCAAAATGTTCCAGCCGCTTATGTTCTTTGAGAGGTCTCAGTTCTATGTGATGTCATGCTTCTCTGTTTGGCTCCTGTGGCGTGCGTAAAAACAAAAAAAGAGCAGGAACTGAAATGGGAGGCTTTGTAAAAGTGCGATTCAAGCTTTTATAAAGATGTGCTTGAAGAAACTTTAAGAAAAAGAAAATCTCTCTGGCAATACTTTGTTTGCACCCTATCCTTTCCACAGAAATAAGGAATAATTAAAGAACAATAAGGCTAATTATCTTACATCTGTTAAGCAGCATGCATGTATCATTTTACCCCTCCATCTACTCCTCAGAGGCTTCTGCCATGCTTGTTTGCAAGCGCCTTGCTTGTCACCTAATGCTCTTTAGCGGGATTTACGTCTTCTCCAAAAGGCTTTATCAGCCAGTGATTGTAATTAAGTGCGACACACGGCCTCTCCGACCATTTTGACCTGCAGGGGGGGGGGGGGGGGGAGAGCCTGCATAGCTTCAAAGCATGATCCAAGTGACATGATTTGATTTGTAAAACGATGGCCTGGAAATGACAACGTCTCATTTGAAAACTAATTAGGATCCATCGATAGTCACCAGGGATATATGCCCTTCACGGCAGCCTAATGAAATCTATAAGTTTATTTCAAAGCAACGCTGACGGCATCTTAATATATATGTTAAAAATAAATAGATAGGACGGGTTATTTCTGTATGGCTTACAGACAGATCATATAAAGCTGTCATTGCAGTTTGGTATGAGATCTAAGATGCGCTCTGATATTTTTCTCACGGCTTCCACTAAAAACATGACCCGATCCACATCAACTGCATCACTATGACGACGGGACGGACGGCCATGGGCGCAGAGAGCGTCGTCTCACCTCCATTGCAGCGCCAGCAGACGATCAACAGGTCCCCGGGGCTCTCAACACAGGACAGCCTCCCGCAGCCCGGCAGAACAAAAGTTAGCTCTACCGGAAAGGTGAAAGGATGACAATCTGCTGACGGAACAAGTCATAACAGCTGACTGGAGAGGCGAGCAAAGACATGGAGAAGGGACATGGGCACTTTATTCAGCCCCGGCGCGCTTAGTGCACTGCGCATGCCCCCCCCTCTGAGCCCTCAGAGAACAAAGAGCTCATCCCTTTGGGGCTGATGAGAAAGAGCCGTCCTTCAGACATCCCTGGAAATAAGCACGTCCCTGTAAATAATGCGCTGAAAATAGTAATCAGGACGTGCAGGTAAAGGAGTGAACGCGCCTCGAAGCCCCTAAAGCGCTGCTGTCTCCAGCAATAAACGTTATTAGAATTAATATAATGATGTCTTTAAAAAAGAGAGAGGTGGGGGGGGTGTCTTAAGTCTCCGGATGTGGTGGTACATTTGTAAATATTGACGTTTTAACTATTCATTCATTAACATATCTGTTTATCTTACTAATTATGGGCCTATGATTGACATGGGTTGTTTGTTTATTTTGGGTATGCATGCTCCATTAGAAGAAGTAGCCTACATACTCAATCAACCAGAAATAGAATATATTAATAATTTTCCATTTTTAGGCAGATTATTCATTGTCCTTTATTCGTCTAACATCCCTGCCTCATTGCTCTCATGCATTTGTAGTTTCCCAGTTGGGTCAGAGTGCCACAAGGCAGTGTGATTCAGTCTGACCTGTTACACTCATTCCATTGTTTCTCTCTGTTGGCCAATACTATTCAGGTCATTAGATGACTTTTCATTAGATGTATTTCTAAGGGAGGCTCCAAATAGATGGCTGATTTTTAACTCAAAACGTATGGCTGAGCTAAAGTGCTAAATGGACGAGACATGGCCCAGAGGTCAAGAATCTGGCCCAAATCGAGTTAAGCCATGTGTTGTTTTGGGTCACACATGGCGGAAACATGGCTAAAATATAAAGTAATATGAGCACATAAGTAGATTGATCAAGAAATTAAGATTAAGAAGAAATTTAAAAAGGCACAGAGTCTTAAAAGACAAAGCGATTTGAACTACACACCTTTGTGTTACACAAGCTATTTGTCATTCACTTATTTTTACTTCTGAGTTTATTTAAAAAGCACCAAACCAACCCTTCATTGAGATCTTTGCAGAAATATCCTGGTTGGTAAAGATATTGGTTTTTTAAATTATTTTATATTTGGGCTAGGTATGACTCAACACACTTTAAAATGGACCTTTGTCAGTTGGTTTAGATAGCACATCCCTTAGTTGTTATCAGACGCCAAAGTTAAGGGTTAGGCCTACGATATTTTAAAATCAAAAGTCTTCTGGACACATTTGCTTGAGGTCTACTAACATGGATCCAACTATTAACCGAGCCTCCTGGATAGTCTTTAAATTCCCCGAGGAAGCGCATGTCTGGTAACCATATCTTGGTTTTCCCAAACAGTCCAAAATTGCAATAAAAAAAGAAATTATTGTCCTATCTGCCTATGATACCCAAGGATGCGGTTCCTAAACGTAAAACTCGTCAAGGAGTTTGAGAGCCCCTGAGTCTCTTTTTTTTCCCCACACGGCAGGTGGAGCCCTAGGTCCAAACATTCGGAAGCAAGGTCCAGTTCCGTGTTTTCCACCAAACGCCACACTCTGCCAGTTTTTCTCCCTCTTTTCTCTTCCCCTGCATCCCCAAGGCAGGAATCATCACCCTCTCTCCAGCCCCCTCCGCCCGCCCTCTGCCTCCCCTTCCCCGCCCGCTTTCGACGGCCGGGGCTGCGCTCCGATCCAGCGGGCATTCGCCGCGCCTCCAAATTGGTTTGTCATTTCTGACCCCTTCTCTCTCTGCGCTCCGCAGACCCCCGGCACGAGTCGGCGAAAGGCACACAGAGAATCTGCACCCAGAGAGGCGGGCAAGGAAAGAGGAGGAGAGGGGAAGACGGAGATACAGACGGACGGATCGGGAGGCAGAGCTATAGATAACGCCTCTGTCCTCCTCCTTCTGCGCTCCGCTGGGCTCACGGTGCGCGTTTGGACGGACGCGGAAAGCTTTCTCTCCCCCCCCCTCTTTCCCGCGTGAACGCTGATCGGGATACCGAGCACGCAGCTATTGGCTTATTGCTCCCTCAGCTTTATTCATATTCCTTCTCTCTGGAAGGATAGTCCTGGTCGTTTGGCAGCGGCAGAGAAAAAACAACAACAACAACAACAAAAAATAAAACAAACTAAAGAGCCAGAGTCGATGCTCCTATCCAGCAAGTGAAACATATCGACAGGGAAGATATATTTTGTGTTGCGGGGACTGGATGAGAGGTTATTTCTGACTCCGCTCTGCGCTGGATGTGAACGCAACGCGCCTATCGCTCCGACACGGTAAGAATCCGCTTTTTATTCCCCCCCTCACCAACGTTGTAGATTGTTTTGTATTTATTTATTTGTTGTCTAGGCATCTCCGGTGAGTACCCGTAAATGTCTCGGCTCTGTGTCAGTGAGCCGGGCTGCGGTTCTATAACGGCTGCGCTGACCGCGGTTCTCACGGATGCCCATGGGAATGTGGCCTGCGATGATCGCACTTAAGGGGCCGCCGAAAAAAACTGGCCCTCAACGGACGCGGAGGTAAAAACGCGACCGACGGTCCAGCCAGCGGCCAGCGGCCGGCGGCTGCATGGGCGTCGCTTTGGGGGGGTTGGGGGGGTGGGATGCGAGGTGTCGCTGCGAGGCGAAGCGTTAAGCGATGATACCTATTACCTCCCTGGACCATAATCAATGCGATCTCATTATCCCATGACAGCCTCTCTCTCGGCCTATAGGTGCGCACGTTATTATCCCCCCTTATTATAAATCATAACGCGGCCGCGTGGATCTAACTCCACTGCAGGGCGCAGCGACAAATCACGCGCTTTTGCGTGATGGATGACAGACCCAAGAGTTTGCTTGGCTCCTTGGGTTTTTTTCCCAATTTTATGCGGCTGTCATTCGAGTATATGGGAATGCAGTCAGCTCGTTTGGGGCCGCGCTATACTTTTGGCAGCCGCAGTCCAAAAAATCCGGAGTAAATCCAGCGGTTCTCCGCGAGAAAACGAGCATACAGCAGCACAGCAGCACAGCGCACCTCAGGACACGTCAATCATGCGGATCCGTGAGTGAAAGCCC